AACCACAGACACACGTTCAGAATAAGACTTTAGAACCACAGACACACGTTCAGTATAAGACTTTAGAACCACAGACACACGTTCAGTATAAGACTTTAGAACCACAGACACACGTTCAGAATAAGACTTTAGAACCACAGACACACGTTCAGAATAAGACTTTAGAACCACAGACACACGTTCAGTATAAGACTTTAGAACCACAGACACACGTTTATATAAGACTTTAGAACCACAGACACACGTTCAGAATAAGACTTTAGAACCACAGACACACGTTCAGTATAAGACTTTAGAACCACAGACACATGTTTATATAAGACTTTAGAACCACAGACACACGTTCAGAATAAGACTTTAGAACCACAGACACACGTTCAGAATAAGACTTTAGAACCACAGACACACGTTCAGTATAAGACTTTAGAACCACAGACACATGTTCAGAATAAGACTTTAGAACCACAGACACACGTTTATATAAGACTTTAGAACCACAGACACACGTTCAGAATAAGACTTTAGAACCACAGACACACGTTCAGAATAAGACTTTAGAACCACAGACACACGTTCAGAATAAGACTTTAGAACCACAGACACACGTTTGCATTTGATTGAAGACACCATTTCTGTCAAACTCAACATCTGGAGCTGGGACATAGAGTTGAAGCTTCTCTCTCTCTGAGTTGCGGGTATTGACGTGTTAGCACGTTAGCTGGTTTTAGCGTGTTAGCTGGTGTTAGCACGTTAGCTGGTTTTAGCGTGTTAGCTGGTGTTAGCTTGTTAGCTGGTGTTAGCATGTTAGCTGGTGTTAGCATGTTAGCTGGTTTTAGCGTGTTAGCTGGTGTTAGCTTGTTAGCTGGTGTTAGCATGTTAGCTGATGTCCGTAAAAAAAGCGTTAATCCATGTTGTCAAACCACCTCCAGACTTTGCAGTTCTGTCACTTTTACGGCTGGGATCTTTCATTTCACTGTCGTCACTTTTACACTTCTAAACTTTTTTCTGCACTGTGATGTCCCTCATATACTTCTTCGTCCCTAGCGCTACCTTCGCTAACACTTAGCTATTTACACTCACTCAGGTGCAATATCAAGCTCAAACTGACCGCATCCGCAAAGTGGGTCGAGACGGGTCGGACCCGGACAGACCACAGATCCATACTCCAGCCTGTGGAAACGGCCCTAATGTCCACAAATGTCCATTTCTTGCAGATTGCTCCTCATCTGAACCGAGTCAGAGTCCTCAAAATCAGAATGACTGTCATAACAAGTACCAAGGGCTCATAAATAAAAGCCCCTGACTTGTATTGTCCATCAGTGAATGACAAATATCTGTTTAAAACGTCCGTATACAACGTTATGGCACAAATCCATATCAACAAAGCCCAATGACACCTATGTGTACGGCACTTCCGGTCTCGGCAATTCTTCCGCGAATGTCTTTTTGCATGATTATTATTGATAGAAACTGCTAAAGGTGAAACTATCTGTCAACATGAGTTTTATTTAACACAAAAAAGACCACAATATACGAACAAAATAAGATTAGGTCCCTTTTAAGTGTATGTGTGTGTGTCTATTACTGTGTGTGTGTCTCTGTGTGTGTGTGTCTTTCTCTCTTTGTGTGTGTCTCTCTCTCTCTCTCTCTGTGTGTGTCTGTCTTTGTGTGTGTGTGTCTCTCTCTCTCTGTGTGTGTCTTTCTCTCTCTCTGTGTGTGTCTCTCTCTCTCTGTGTGTGTCTGTCTTTGTGTGTGTGTGTGTCTCTCTCTCTGTGTGTGTCTGTCTTTGTGTTTTTGTGTGTGTCTCTCTTTGTGTGTGTGTGTGTGTGTGTCTCTTACTGTGTGTGTGTGTGTGTGTGTGTGTGTGTGTGTGTGTGTGTGAGTCTCTGTGTGTGTGTGTGTGTGTGTCTCTCTCTTACTTAGTGTGTGTGTATTCCCTGCTGGGCCTAAGGTATGAGCACTCTCCCCTTTAAGAGCTCTTTATAGTGAGATAATGTCTGCATCCATGGTAACGGCATTTCAATCTGAAGAGACCAAAGACACGATAAATACATTGAAATGATTTATTTGTTTGGCGCATTGACCCCGGCAGTGACACTTGCAGCTATGAGATCGATTGCAGCTGAGATGATCTCAGATCCCCCGGGGTCAATCACTGGTGGTGGCTAGAGTATGGTGTGAATGGGGCGTAGGCGGAGCAGGAGCCGGAGTGGGAGCCTAGAGCGGGAGCCAGAGCGGGAGCCAGAGCGGGAGCCAAGAGCCAGAGGGGGTGCTGGGGAGGTGGTGGGTGTTTAAGAGCCTCAGGAAGCGTTGTTTGTCAGGAAGTGGCTGCCTTTTAAACTGCCCGCTTTGCTCTGAGAGGGTTGGCAGGAGGCTGGCCTGGCTGTGTGATTGGCTGAGGCTCGAGGCTGGCAGAGCTGTGTGATTGGCTGAGGCTCGAGGCTGGCAGAGCTGTGTGATTGGCTGAGGCTCGAGGCTGGCAGAGCTGTGTGATTGGCTGAGGCTCGAGGCTGGCAGGCACTCGGTCTTTCAGTCTGAACATCCGCTTGAGCTTCATGTGTGTGTGTGTGCGGGTGTGTGTCTTTGTGTGTCTGTGTGTGTGTGTGTCTCTGTGTGTGTGTGTGTGTGTGTGTGCGTGTGTGTGCTTAGGACTGTAACATTTGTGTGTCACCTTCTCAAACAAACTGCTGTTGCTCAGAAACAATTACTAATCCAACTAACAAGACTGAAAACAAATTATTCTTACTTAAGTGTGTGTCTTTGTGTAGGTGTGTGTCTGTATCTGTGTGTGTCCTTGTGTCAATTATGTCATATATAAAAGCTGTTTTTGTGTAGCTCACGTCCTCTCATTTTTACTGGGAAAATAAGCTTTAAAATGAAGTATAACAGGCATGGATCTATAATAATACCTGGATCGGGTATTACTAGCTTATAGTTGTCCCACCTATGGCCACAGGGGGCGCTGTGGTACTGCAGACTAAATTCACGAGGGCTACCCAGAAAAAAGTCCCATAGAACTCAATGTAAACTAAAACAGCTCGACCTCAGCTGACAGAGAACCTGACAGAGAACCTGACAGAGAACCTACAGCTTTCAGAAAGATCGTATTTTGTGGGGTTTTTAGTGTCCCTTGTCGTCCTGAACTTTTTTTCTTCTTAAATTCTTCGGTTTTCTTTAAATCTACACTTTACTGCCACAAACTCTGCTCTTTTCCTTCCCACTCTGACTCCGCTCTAACTCTACTCTGATCAGCAGCTCTGATTGGTCAGAGCGCTGCCTTCTGATTGGTCAAAGCGTGGCCGAGCCCCTCTGTGCACGTGCATGAGAGCCACACATGCGTATTTGGCGCAAAGCATCATGGGAGCTTGCCCACTGCACAGAACTGGGAGGACCAGATGATGCCCACATATAGGCGAGTTCCGCTAATCTCCCGGTCCCTGTGAAGCCATTCATTGGTAACAGGCCTTAGAATCCCTTTACCATCAACGCTGGAAGTTACTTTGATAATGATACTTGAAAATCATATGAGGGGCCACTAACAATGGTATTGTGGGCCGGATTTGGCTCTCGGGCCACGAGTTTGCCCTGACATTGGTGCTTAAGTGTTTGAATGTGGAGAGTCCTGGATCATCTCTGTTCTTTTAACGGAACAAAGAAAAACACAAAACATGACGTTTTCTTTCCAAAATGTCCTTTTTGTGCGTTTTTGCCCTGGTTTAATCACTGCGTCGTTAGCAGCGCCAGACTCTAATCAACCTGTTTGTGCGTTTGTCAAAGTGTCACTTCATCAATGTAACCTTCTCATTGTGTGTGTGTCTATGTGCATGTGTGTGTCAGTGTGTGTGTGTCTATGTGCATGTGTGTGTCAGTGTGTGTGTGTCTATGTGCATGTGTGTGTCAGTGTGTGTGTGTCTGGGTTCTCTGTGTGTGCGTGTGTCTGTGTGTGTGTCTGTTACTTACGTGGCAATAAAAATGATTCTGATTCTGATTATTATCAGTCTCGACAAGGAAAGTTTATTTGTGTGGCATAGTTCTTACACAAAACAAGATAAACAACCACACAACCCAGCAGGAGGCCAGTCCCTGTGCTCCTCAGAGTCCCAGCAGGAGGCCAGTCCCTGTGCTCCTCAGAGTCCCAGCAGGAGGCCAGTCCCTGTGCTCCTCAGAGTCCCAGCAGGAGGCCAGTCCCTGTGCTCCTCAGAGTCCCAGCAGGAGGCCAGTCCCTGTGCTCCTCAGAGTCCCAGCAGGAGGCCAGTCCCTGTGCTCCTCAGAGTCCCAGCAGGAGGCCAGTCCCTGTGCTCCTCAGAGTCCCAGCAGGAGGCCAGTCCCTGTGCTCCTCAGAGTCCCAGCAGGAGGCCAGTCCCTGTGCTCCTCAGAGTCCCAGCAGGAGGCCAGTCCCTGTGCTCCTCAGAGTCCCAGCAGGAGGCCAGTCCCTGTGCTCCTCAGAGTCCCAGCAGGAGGCCAGTCCCTGTGCTCCTCAGAGTCCCAGCAGGAGGCCAGTCCCTGTGCTCCTCAGAGTCCCAGCAGGAGGCCAGTCCCTGTGCTCCTCAGAGTCCCAGCAGGAGGCCAGTCCCTGTGCTCCTCAGAGTCCCAGCAGGAGGCCAGTCCCTGTCCTCCTCAGAGTCCCAGCAGGAGGCCAGTCCCTGTGCTCCTCAGAGTCCCAGCAGGAGGCCAGTCCCTGTGCTCCTCAGAGTCCCAGCAGGAGGCCAGTCCCTGTGCTCCTCAGAGTCCCAGCAGGAGGCCAGTCCCTGTGCTCCTCAGAGTCCCAGCAGGAGGCCAGTCCCTGTGCTCCTCAGAGTCCCAGCAGGAGGCCAGTCCCTGTGCTCCTCAGAGGTCCCAGGAGGAGGCCAGTCCCTGTGCTCCACACCTCCCTAATCTCTTACATTTCTTTTCTGTCCATTACTTTCTTACAATCTCTTCTTCTAGATCAGAACTCACTCGAGTTGCGACCTAAAAGCCTTCGTCCCGTTTCCACTTCCATCGTCCTGTTTTAACAACTGTCAGATTAGCCGAACACATTCCATCTCTTTCCGTTGTGTTTCTGTTCCGGCCTGAGGTCCCACAGAAGTGACCGTTGGAGATTGTCCCGGTCCCGCGGCGGCTTCTGTGGTGAATCGACTGTGTCTTAATTTGCTCCACCTGCTCCGGCGGCCGCTGCGGCTTCTGCGGCGCTCTGCCAGATCCATTAAGAGCAGCCGGAGGGCGGTCAGACGGGGCAGACTGCGATCCTGTGATTGTGTCTCGCACTGAACGACAAGGCCTCACACACTGCCGCTTGTTCAGAGTGTTCACGGGGACACGGGAGAAACAAACACAAACCCGGACTTTGTAATGTTCTTCTGTCGCAGCTCAAATCACAAAGGAACGGCACGGTGAACGAGCAAAGAGGTCCTGCGTCCGAATCCGAATCTGCGTAGGTGTCCTCCAGGTGCTCCTGTTTCCCCTACCTCTAAAAACATGCACAAAAGATAAAATCCTCCATCCGAGAAATCACAACAGTAGTTTTCTCTGAGGACTTTACAAAACCGTTGAATTCACCAACAACAGTATACCTGTGTAAACCTGTGGCGACAAAAGAGGCTAACAAGGAGCATAGATCTAGAAGTGATGCTAACTCACCGTATACTACAGTTTACAAAAGGACAGAGACCAATGTCCATAAATGTGGTCTGTCTCTAATTTAAGTCACAACAGCTGTTTTTATACGTATTTCTAAACTTTATTTTAGTAAAACTCTCTTTCTCGGCTCAGATACCAAGGACATGTTTACTGGAAGCAGATAGAAACTCGCGATAATGTGTTTTGAATATCTTCTTTTTTTTTTTTTCTCACACACTGCGACAACTCAACGCCCGGTTCAATGTTTACATTAGTTGCCGTTTGTGAAAGCGACAAAAGGAGCAGGAGCAGCATTCCGGAACTCAAAGGAGAGTCAAAGGAGAGTGTGCGACGTCGAAAAACGGTTGTGGAGAACACATTTTTCGCTTTGTAAATCCAGGATGAATAACATTATCTTTAAATCTCTTGGAATTTAGCAGGTATTCAATTCAATTATCTGTATTTACAAAACTTCAACAAGTCATACACATACTAGCCTGGTCGTACCACACCATAGTACACATTTCATTTCATACTAAGGTCTGGAGGTGTTCCATTGACTCCGGGAACAGGTGGGAGGGGCTAACTCCTTTTGCAGATTGAAACGATTGGATCTGACTTTACTGTGACGTTTGTAATGCACCCGAGTGAGTTGTTAGCATTTAGCATTTAGCCTAGCTTAAGTCAAACTTTTCTCAAATTTGGCAAAATTTGTCTTCATCTGACACATTCTGACTGAGCCTTAAAACTAGATTCTCCAGTGGGACAAAACTAAATTGTTGCTTTTGTCCCACTTTGTTTCCAAGACAAAAAAATAAATTAAAAAACACAGAATTGTCTCCTTTGGAATGAGGAAATAAAGACTGAACGACTGTGTCCCATTGGAGAAGGCAGTCAGACTGTTCTTTAAGTTTTTGTGTGTCTGTATGTGGGTCTGTGTGTGTCTGTGCGTGTCTGTGTGTGTGTCTGTGCGTGCGCGTGTGTGTGTCTGTGCGTGTCTGTGCGTGCGCGCGCGTGTGTGTGTATGTCTGTGCGTGTGTGTGTGTGTGTCTGTGCGTGTGTGTGTGTGTGTGTGTGTGTCTGTGCGTGTGTGTGTGTGTGTGTGTGTGTCTGTGCGTGTCTGTGTGTGTGTGTCTGTGCATGTGTCTGTGTGTGTGTCTGTGCGTGTGTGTCTGTGCGTGTATGTGTGTGTGTCTGTGCGTGTGTGTCTATGCGTGTCTGTGTGTGTCTATGTGTGTGTGTGTGTGTGTCTCTGTCAGTGTGTGTCTGTGCGTGTGTGTGTCTGTGCGTGTCTGTGTGTGTCCGTGCGTGTGTGTGTGTTTAGTTCTCAGCGTTTGTCCTCATGGTGTATATTGTGTAGGTGTTGTATAGTATTATGTAGATTGTGTAAATGGAAGGTAGATTTAGGATTTAATTTGTCATTTGCAGTAAAACCACATTGGAAAAACTGTGCAAGACTGACCCCAGTAACACCTCCAGTCGTCCATGAAACGTAATCGTCTGTTCGTTGCTCTGTGTCTGCAGAGTTTGTTTAACGATTGGGGCCAAAGTGAATCTTTTGAGGCAAACACAGATAAAAGTAATTGTCCATTAAACATGTTCTAGTCCTGCTCCTGAAGCTAACGGCCTCATACGAGTGCCCTCTGTCAGAAACTGGACCAACGGAGCAGACGAAGAGGATCCAGAGAGAATAAGGAGGTTTTGGTGAGAGCGGCTCCGAGCTCCGGGTCCAGGCCTCGTGACGCTGCCGCTGTTTCCATCTCGTTAAACACAGCCTACAGTGCTCTCTCTGGTCTCACTCTAGTCTCTCTCTGGTCTCTCTCTGGTCTCACTCTAGTCTCTCTCTGGCCTCTCTCTGTCCTCTCTGTGGCCTCTTTCTGGTCTCTCTCTGGTCTCTCTCTGGTCTCTCTGGTCTCTCTCTGGTCTCTCTCTGGTCTCTCTCTGGTCTCTCTCTGGTCTCTCTGGTCTGTCTGGTCTCTCTCTGGTCTCTCTCTGGTCTCTCTCTGGTCTCTCTCTGGTCTCTCTCTGGTCTCTCTGGTCTCTCTCTGGTCTCACTCTAGTCTCTCTCTGGCCTCTCTCTGTCCTCTCTGTGGCCTCTCTCTGGTCTCTCTCTGGTCTCTCTCTCTGGTCTCTCTCTGGTCTCTCTCTGGTCTCTCTCTGGTCTCACTGTGGTCTCTCTCTGGTCTCTCTCTGGTCTCTCTCTGGTCTCTCTGGTCTGTCTGGTCTCTCTCTGGTCTCTCTCTGGTCTCTCTCTGGTCTCTCTCTGGTCTCTCTCTGGTCTCTCTCTGGTCTCTCTCTGGTCTCTCTGGTCTCTCTCTGGTCTCTCTGGTCTCTCTGGTCTCTCTCTGGTCTCTCTCTGGTCTCTCTCTGGTCTCTCTGGTCTCTCTCTGGTCTCTCTGGTCTCTCTCTGGTCTCTCTCTGGTCTCTCTGGTCTCTCTCTGGTCTCTCTCTGGTCTCTCTCTGGTCTCTCTCTGGTCTCTCTCTGGTCTCTCTCTGGTCTCTCTCTGCTGCTGCTGTTTCCATCTCGTTAAACACGGAACAATCAGCGATAATTCTCTGCCGACGAGAGCAGAGCAGAGCAGCCTGCCCTCGCCACGGCCACGGCCACATGTGTCACATTCATCACAATGAGAACGGACAGAGAAGGCAACAACAACAACTTATTCTTGTATAGCCCTTAATCACAACAGCATCATCTCAGAGACTGAACAAAACCATTGAAATCACCAACACAGATCAGAGAATCAACAGTAAAGACACAAAATATACACATTATGGTCCATAGGAGAGACCAATGTCCATGAATGTTGAAAAATGTCCCTGGGTCAGCTCTATTTACCACAGTGGGCCAATGTTGCAAATCTGCAACGTCCCAGAATGCATGTGACGGAATCTCAAAAAAGTCAGGATTGTACAGTATATTACTAATATTACTAATTTCCCCCAAATATCAGATTTTTGCTGTCATTTATATTTTATTGGAGAGGGTTCTTAGATTTTGAGCTGGCCAATCGACAGCTTTGTAAAGTCCTCTGAGAAAACACTGCTGTGATTTAGGGCTGTACAAAAATAGATTGAATTTAATTGAAATCTTTGGCAAATTCTTTCAAATGAATTACTCATTTTCAAACCTTAGTATCTGTGGTTTTGTGATGATTTCTTTATAAATCTTTCTCTAGACATTTACAAGATCAGGTCACAAAACTGCACTCAAACGTCTCACAGAGCTTTAGCTTAGAGTCTAGTCTCTGCTCACCTCACTGTGTGTGTTAGCGTTAGCGTGTTAGCGGCGACACGTGACCGTTAGCTCCCAGTGGGACTCTGCAAACATCTGTGACCGGTGTGATTGGTGCATGGGGCGTTTCCACAGGGGACCTCTGATAGGACTAAGCCTCAGTCTCTGTCCGTCTCACTGGGGGGCCAACCAAGCGCCGCGTGCTCCTGCCACGGCTCCTGCACGCTTGGTTTAGCTCCTGTAATTGGACATGCTCTTTTTGACTGCGACAAAGTGATTACACGTTACCTTATTCCAGCCCTGTCCCTCACAACTTTTCACCACTGTATTCACAACTTCATCCCTCTCCCTCCAGCGGCACTTCATTTGAGCAGCAGAAGAGATAAAGATTACGATTCATTTATTGGCCATTTGCAGTAAAACCACATTGGAATACATTTGCAAAAGTCTCCACTGTGCACAAGACAAGTACATACATAAAACAACAAAACAGGAAACAATTGTCTCTGTCAAATCTATCAGCTAAAACAGTTCCAGTACAAAGGCAAGAACATTAAAGTGTTTAAATGGATAGCAGCTTGTGGGAAGAAGCTGTTAGCATGTTAGCATGTCCTGCATCTCAGAGAACAATATCTTCTGCCAGAAGGAAGAAGCTGGAACATGGCTTTTCCAGAGGCCAGAAGAGTCATTGATAATTCCAAGAGCTCTGTTTAAAAGTCTGGATTTATAAAGAACCTCCAGAACAGGAAGCTCACAGCCTACAGTGCTCTCTCTGGTCTCTCTCTGGCCTCTCTCTGGTCTCTCTCTGGTCTCTCTCTGGCCTCTCTCTGGTCTCTCTCTGGCCTCTCTCTGGCCTCTCTCTGGCCTCTCTCTGGTCTCTCTCTCTGGCCTCTCTCTGGCCTCTCTCTGGCCTCTCTCTGGCCTCTCCCTGGCCTCTCCCTGGTCTCTCTCTGGTCTCTCTCTGGTCTCTCTCTGGCCTCTCTCTGGTCTCTCTCTGGCCTCTCTCTGGTCTCTCTCTGGTCTCTCTCTGGCCTCTCTCTGGCCTCTCTCTGGTCTCTCTCTCTGGCCTCTCTCTGGCCTCTCTCTGGCCTCTCTCTGGCCTCTCCCTGGTCTCTCTCTGGTCTCTCTCTGGTCTCTCTCTGGCCTCTCTCTGGCCTCTCTCTGGCCTCTCTCTGGTCTCTCTCTCTGGTCTCTCTCTGGCCTCTCTCTGGCCTCTCTGGCCTCTCTCTGGTCTCTCTCTGGCCTCTCTCTGGCCTCTCTCTGGCCTCTCTCTGGTCTCTCTCTGGTCTCTCTCTGGCCTCTCTCTGGTCTCTCTCTGGTCTCTCTCTGGCCTCTCTCTGGTCTCTCTCTGGTCTCTCCCTGGTCTCTCTCTGGTCTCTCTCTGGCCTCTCTCTGGCCTCTCTCTGGCCTCTCTCTGGTCTCTCTCTGGTCTCTCTCTCTGGTCTCTCTCTGGCCTCTCTCTGGCCTCTCTCTGGCCTCTCTCTGGTCTCTCTCTCTGGTCTCTCTCTGGCCTCTCTCTGGTCTCTCTCTGGTCTCTCTCTGGCCTCTCTGGCCTCTCTCTGGTCTCTCTCTGGTCTCTCTCTGGTCTCTCTCTGGTCTCTCTCTGGCCTCTCTCTGGTCTCTCTCTGGCCTCTCTCTGGCCTCTTTCTGGCCTCTCTCTGGCCTCTCTCTGGGCTCTCTCTGGTCTCTCTCTGGCCTCTCTCTGGTCTCTCTCTGGCCTCTCTCTGGCCTCTTTCTGGCCTCTCTCTGGCCTCTCTCTGGTCCTTGAGGACTTTACAAAACTGTCAATACCTCGGGGAGACCCATTGAGGGAGGGATCCACTCCCACGGGCAGACAGAGCGGCTGTTGATCCTGGACTCAGACTGTAGAACGAGGACAGAGGCCACAAGATGCAGGACTGAGGCGGCTTTCTCACCTTTTCCTACTGGGTTATTGAGTAGTTCTTTAGCGATGCGGGAGGGTCTAAGGACAGTGGTGATCCAGGACATTTATGGACATTGATCACCCGCCCCCTATGGAGCAATGTCTTCTGTTTGTTTGTTATTATTCCACTTCCTGTGTTAGAACTAAATCTAACTCGACACACTTAATTGAATCGAATAGGAATGTGTTGTTGAGTGATTCCGTTGGCAAAAACACACTTCTCCGTCTCTCTCCGGGCTCCAGCCTCAGCACAGTTCACAGGTCCGTCGTGAGCCTTGAATCTTAAATGCCGAGTCAGTCTGGGAGCAGATAGATGGAGTGTTAAAGAGTGATTGTTAATTAGCGCTGCCATTTGCATGTTGTCCGGCTGCAAAGCGGCAAGATCAATGTTGTGTCGCTGCGGAAAATACTGCTCAATTACATTACGGAGCTAATGGGGGCGAGTGCGGCTGCAGTGGCCTGGTCCGTGCTCCGGCTGAGATCTGCTGCTGCCGCCGTGGACTGACAGTCTGTGTATTAATAATGATATCCCTCAAACACACTTCTTCCCCACTCGCTTCACAAGGAATTTGAATCAGTTTGACTAATGAGAGGGTTGTCTATCCCCCTCTCGGTACTAGACCAACCGTGGTAGGCTGCACAAGAGGAGAGTCCGAGATAGTCACTGAGGCTAGCAGCTAACGCAGCCGTTTTAGAACCAAGACTATCTCTGATGATAAGTGAGTAAGAAAGAGTTTACCATCTTTTAGCTTTAACATAATACATAAGCAAGTCTAAAATCTCTAACTTTAGCATAATAAAGAAGCTAGTATAAAATCTCTAGTTTTAACATAATACATAAGCAAGTCTAAAATCTCTAACTTTAGCATAAAAAGGAGCTAGTATAAAATATCTAGCTTTAGCATAAAAATGAGCTAGTATAAAATCTCTAGCTTTAGCATAATGAAGAAGCAAATCAAACTTTAGCATCATAAGGAAAGTATAAAGTCTAAAGACATACACAGATGCATCTGTTAGCATCATGAGGGTCTGGGGCAAAGTGGCAGTGGACAGTTCTATATTGCACATTATTCAAATGATTATTGCACGGAACAGTAAAGTGACAGTGAAAGTATCTGTAACCGCCGCACTGTGACCCATTGTGCTATTGTTGGCAGTCTTGAATCTGTCATTTTGCTCTAGAACAAAGGTTATTGCGAGCGATTGATAAAATTTTCATTGCAGACGAGTTCTTTCATGTGGTGCGTGGGGAGGAGAGAGCCTTTAAGAAGTTGCGGTGCCGCCGGCCTCCACTGGCAAAGCTACTGTCTGCCGCGTTTAATGCCAGTTCAAAATGATAATGAGAGAGAGACGGTCCCGGGTGGCGAGAGAGGAGCCGAGCGGCCGGGGCCAGAGCCGGAGCTGGTGCCGCTAATTGGAACTCTAAATCATTGTGTCACCTGTCAGTCAGGGCCCCCGCTTTGAAAGGGGGGGAGTCTGCATGAGGCCAGGGAGTCGGCTGTGATGTGCGGCGGCGATGGGAGACCGCGGACGCACCGGCTTTAAAATAAGTCATCGGTAAAAGTGGTAATGAGAGGGCAGAGGAGATGGGGGAGGGGAAGGGGGAGAGGGGGGATGGGAGGGAGGAGGGGAGGGGAGAGGAAAGGGTAAAGGGAGCGAGAGGAGAGGAGGAGGTGGGGGAAAGGGCAGAGGGGAGGGAAGGGGAGACAGGAGAGAGGGCAGAAGGGGGGGAAGGGGAGACAGGAGAGAGGGCAGAAGGGGGGGAAGGGGAGAGGGGAGGGGAGGGAGGAGAGGAAAGAGAGGGCAGAGGGGCGAGAGTGGTGGGGAGGGGAGAGAGAGAGGAGAGAGTGGAGGGGAGAGAGGAGAGAGTGGTGGGGAGGGGAGAGAGGAGAGAGTGGAGGGAAGAGGGGAGAGAGAGGAGAGAGTGGAGGGCAGAGGGGAGAGAGAGGAGAGAGTGGAGGGCAGAGGGGAGAGAGAGGAGAGAGTGGTGGGGAGGGGAGAGAGAGAGGAGAGAGTGGAGGGGAGGGGAGAGAGAGAGTGGAGGGCAGAGGGGAGAGAGAGAGGGGAGAGAGAGAGGAGAGAGTGGTGGGCAGACGGGAGAGAGAGGAGAGAGTGGTGGGGAGGGGAGAGAGAGAGGAGAGAGTGGAGGGGAGAGAGGAGAGAGAGAGGAGAGAGTGGAGGGCAGAGGGGAGAGAGAGAGGAGAGAGTGGTGGGGAGGGGAGAGAGAGAGAGAGAGTGGAGGGGAGAGAGAGAGAGAGAGAGGAGAGAGTGGAGGGGAGAGAGGAGAGAGTGGTGGGCAGAGGGGAGAGAGAGGAGAGAGTGGTGGGCAGAGGGGAGAGAGAGAGAGAGAGGAGTGGAGGGGAGAGAGAGAGAGAGAGAGAGAGAGAGTGGAGGGGAGAGAGGAGAGAGTGGAGGGCAGAGGGGAGAGAGAGAGAGAGAGAGTGGTGGGGAGGGGAGAGAGAGAGAGAGTGGTGGGCAGAGGGGAGAGAGAGAGGAGAGAGAGTGGAGGGCAGAGGGGAGAGAGAGAGGAGAGAGTGGTGGGCAGAGGGGAGAGAGAGAGGAGAGAGTGGAGGGCAGAGGGGAGAGAGAGGAGAGAGTGGAGGGCAGAGGGGAGAGAGAGAGAGAGAGTGGTGGGGGGGGGAGAGAGGAGAGGAGAGAGTGGTGGGCAGAGGGGAGAGAGAGAGGAGAGAGTGGAGGGCAGAGGGGAGAGAGAGGAGAGAGTGGAGGGCAGAGGGGAGAGAGAGAGGAGAGAGTGGTGGGCAGAGGGGAGAGAGAGAGGAGAGAGTGGAGGGCAGAGGGGAGAGAGAGAGGAGAGAGTGGAGGGCAGAGGGGAGAGAGAGGAGAGAGTGGAGGGCAGAGGGGAGAGAGAGAGGAGAGAGTGGTGGGGAGGGGAGAGAGGAGAGGAGAGAGTGGTCGACAGAGGGGAGAGAGGAGAGGAGAGAGTGGTGGACAGAGGGGAGAGCCGAGGAGAAGGGAGAGAGAGGAGAGGAGAAAGGGGGGATTGGAGAGGAGGGGGGAGGGAGGAGAGAGCAGTTAGGATCCCAGCGTCCCACACTTCAACCTGCTCCAGAAATCAGTTTTCTTCATGTGACTTTCTGACTTCTTCTCGTATTAATTGAGTAAAAAAATGAATGATGTTTTAGACCAAGGACCCCTAGTGGCAAGAGTGGGCATTAAAAACATTCTTTATGAACCTGGAAGAATTAAAGCCAGTCCCTGTGGCTGTGACAGATACATATGACACGGTGACTGGGTGTCAGGATTGATTTTCTGATCTGTTGTTGGTGAATCGACAACTTTAAAATGTACTGAAAGTCCGAACCCTAAAGTTAAAATAATGTGTTAATTGCAGAAGAGCGGAAACGTCTCCTAACACTTTCCTTTATGAATTTTTTCTGTGAGAACCGTGTAAAAAGAAAACATTTTCTCTGATGAAAGAATAAACTTTTTTTGATTGATGGCCATTTGTCCTGCTATTGTGCTAGTTATTGTTAGCTGCTGCTCTAAATGAGAGGCGCTAATTGCATTTGTGGACAATAATTAGGACGCTCTGAAACCATGAGAGGAAAAAGTATGAGGAGAATTTTGGGAGAAAGTTTCGACTGTGGAGAATGGTGGAAAATGATTTGTTTTTCCTAAATGTTAGACGAGTTGGAAAAACTATTCTCTGTTCATTTTACTGTTGTCATTTCTGTTCAATTCTATACATTTCTGAATCACAGCAGCAGTCATGATTCAACACTGACATTAATCACTTAAAGGAGCTATACCCGTTTCTGCAAAGTGTTTTTCAGTTTGAATGTTTAGCCCCGCCCCCAACTCGCTCTCAGGTCTCTCATTTCCCCCACGCTCTCCTCCCACGGAGCCATCTAGTTTTATTTGTGATCTGATCCGTATGCTAACATTAGCATTAGCACAACTTCTCGTAAGCTGTACAACAATCACTGATGAAATGGTACAAAAGCAACGCACTGCTAACACAATATATAACTGAAAGATTAACGCTAGTTTTACATCCAAATGTGGTCTGAGCGTAGATAGTCCGAGCGTAGATAGTCCGAGCGTAGATAGTCCGAGCGTAGATAGTCCGAGCGTAGATGGTCCGAGCGTAGATGGTCCGAGCGTAGATAATCCAAGCGTAGATAGTCCGAGCGTAGATGGTCCGAGCTTAGATAGTCCGAGCATAGTCCGAGAATAGATAGTCCGAGCGTAGATAGTCCGAGCATAGTCAGAGCATAGTTAGTCCGAGCATAGTCCGAGCATAGTCCGAGCGTAGATAGTCCGAGCGTAGATAGTCCGAGCATAGTCCGAGCGTAGATGGTCCGAGCGTAGATAGTCCGAGCGTAGATAGTCCGAGCGTAGATAGTCCGAGCGTAGATAGTCCGAGCGTAGATAGTCCGAGCGTAGATGGTCCGAGCGTAGATGGTCCGAGCGTAGATAGTCCGAGCGTAGATAATCCAAGCGTAGATAGTCCGAGCGTAGATGGTCCGAGCTTAGATAGTCCGAGCATAGTCCGAGAATAGATAGTCCGAGCGTAGATAGTCCGAGCATAGTCTGAGCATAGTTAGTCCGAGCATAGTCCGAGCATAGTCCGAGCGTAGATAGTCCGAGCGTAGATAGTCCGAGCATAGTCCGAGCGTAGATGGTCCGAGCGTAGATAGTCCGAGCGTAGATAGTCCGAGCGTAGATAGTCCGAACGTAGATGGTCCGAGCGTAGATAGTCCGAGCGTAGATAGTCCGAGCGTAGATAGTCCGAGCTTAGATAGTCCGAGCATAGTCCGAGAATAGATAGTCCGAGCATAGTCTGAGCATAGTTAGTCCGAGCATAGATAGTCCGAGCGTAGATAGTCCGAGCGTAGATAGTCCGAGCATAGATAGTCCGAGGCGGTCCCGCAGGTCTCTCCCACAGACAAGTCTCTCCAGAGGATACGATGTAAGCTAGCTCTGTTCAGGGCTTGATTTCTTCTTTGATCATTTTTGGCTTTAGTTCCCTCTTCTCTTCCTCACTGTTGCTATAGCCACTTTCTGCTAACATGCTGCTGTGTTTACCTGCAGACACTGGAGGAGGCGTGGCCTAGAGGAGGCATGGCCTATAGGAGGCGTGGCCTGTTTGTAACAGCGCCGCTCCTTGTTCTGTGATCCCTGAATTCATACACAGCTGAATCAATGAGCTCAAGTTTTCAATTAAATTACAGATTTTAATAAAACTTGTTAGTAGTAAAACACATTTTTATGAACTCATTAGAAAATAATTCAGGTATAGTTCCTTTAATCAGAATTCCATGGATTTGAGTGATCCAGTGCTATAGTTTAATGCATAAGTCATGCATAAGACAGTGGAGATGATTGTGGACTTCAGGAAGAGCACTGTCCCCCCGCCCCCACCCTCCGTGATGGACTCCCCCATCACCTCTGTGGAGTCCTTCCGTTTCCTGGGCACCACCATCACCCAGGACCTCAAGTGGGAGCCGACCATCAGCTCCCTCATCAAGAAGGCCCAGCAGAGGATGTACTTCCTGCGGCAGCTCAGGAAAGCCAAGCTGCCTGCACAGATGTTGGTGCAGTTCTACACGGCCATCATCGAGTCCATCCTCACCTCCTCCATCACCGTGTGGTTCGCTGGAGCCACAGTCAGGGACAAACAGAGACTACAGTGCATTGTGCGCTCTGCAGAGGAAGTGATCGGCCGCAGCCTTCCATCGCTGCAGGACCTGTACGTCGCCCGAGCTCGAGGCCGGGCTGGTCGTATCACAGCCGACCCCTCTCACCCTGCACATGGACTATTCCAACCACTCCCCTCTCACCCTGCACATGGACTATTCCAACCACTCCCCTCAGGCAGGAGGCTGCGGTCCATCAGGACTAGAACCTCCCGCCACAAGAACAGTTTCTTCCCCTCTGCTGTTGGACTCTTGAACACTTCTTAACCTGTCCCCCCGCCCTTTATAAAGTCACTTTACTGCCCATCATACGTCACTTTACTTCACTGTACTGCTGTCACCTTACATTGTGTGCACCATGTGCACTTGTATATTGTAAATAGTAACTGTAACTCTATTTTAAATTTAAATTTATTCTTTAGAAGTGTTTTTTATTCTTATTTTTATTATCTCTTTTTGACTGTTGCAATGAGCCAAAGCAATTTCCAAGTCTGTGACCTCCCGTTACTTACGTTGGCAATAAAAATGATTCTGATTCTGATTCTGATTCTGAAGTCCTGCCCTGACATACAGTCCATGTGTGCTCTGATCCCACCTTCACTTTGTTATTGTAAAAGTCAGGACCACAAACCCTCTGTCGCCCCCTGTGGGACAGACATGGGACAGACGTGGCATCTGTCTCTCCTCTCGCCTTTCAGTCCTCCGTCAGTCCTCGACACCACACCACCGTCCTTACCCTTTTACAACAGCGCCGCGGGCCTCCTCCAAACACTAGCAGCGCTAAGGTGAAGCGGCTTAAGTTGAATAAATCAGAAGAATATGATTAATAATCCAGTCCAGTCTGACACAGATTAAGCAGCGAGGAGCGAGTGAGACGCAGCTGGAGACAGGACAAGTACAGAGCCCGGACTGATGAAAGGCAGGACCCCCCGTGAGAGACCAGGACGGGGGCTGAGGAGGCCAGGGATGGGAGACTAAAGAAGCACCGTGTCACTTTTGCGGAGGTCCTGCTCGTCTCCATGGAGATAGTTATCGACAGGAAGTTAAGAGACGGTAATAAGGTCTGGTTCCATCTGTGGCTCTGGAACTTGAACAAAAACCTGCTTCATTCATTCACACTGTGGACAAATGAGGGGCTGTATCTGCGGGTGACCAAAGCCAGATCCAGTCAGATATGGGCAGCTAAGCAGGGCAGGACCTGGTTAGTGCTGTGATGGGAGACCTCTGTGAACAGCAGTTGCCACAGTGGGGCGGCTGTGGCTGTAAAGTACCAAACTGTGGCTTTGTCCTTGGGCAAGACACTTCCCCCACATTAGAATGAGTCTGGTGTGTGTGTGAATGGTTGGTGGTGGTGGGAGGGGCCCCGCTTCTGTCAGTGTGCCCCAGTGCAGCTGTGGCTACTAGGGATGTAAATCGGTGACCGTTTAACCGGTGGTTGACCGTCACAGCGTTAACCGGTCAAAGCTGTCGGTTAAAAAAGAGGGAGAGGGGAGGTCTCTTAATAACGCTATTTTAAGCCCAATTTGCACAGGGTGACGAGCGGGTCCATATCTAGCTGTGTGCGCAAATGTATCAGTAAACTCCGGGCTGACTCTCACGCCGCACGCGCCACATATGCACGCACACGTGCGCACAGACACACACGCACACACTTTCCCCCCCTCCATTGACACGTAACATCCACACGCATCATCTCTCCCCTCTGTTACCGCCTGCTAGTTGCACACTGGTGCGGGTCAGAACTACATTGGAGCTTATATTTACACACACACACACACACACACACACACACACACACACACACACACACACACACACACACACACACACACATGTATTGTACACACACATACATACCGGTCTGTTGCGCTCAAAGGATCCGCGCAAATACGCGGCTTCAGTCAAACCAAAGGAACATGTTTGTGCTGCTGGTCCTTGGCATCAGCTCCACACTGATCACTTTTAAACTTTAGCGGAGACCTGCGAGACGCGGCTCGTCACTCGCTGCCCTGACCATGTGGACGTCACTCGTGCCCTGACCATGTGGACGAGCTGTCTTTTGTTTAAAAATGCTTTAAGCCGCAGCACAGAAGAATGGGAAGATTAAAACAGCAGTTCTCTGTGCGCAAAGGTGCCGGAGCTGTTGCGGGTTTTGGCGCCGCTGTCTCGGCTCTGATCCAGTAGAACGCTCAGCTGCACTTATGAGAAGTACGCAGCTCGAAATGGCTGTTATTTCAAAGAACGTGGACTATTTTAAACTACGCGGTTAACCGGTTTCAACCGGTTAATGAGGCTCGGTGGTCGGTCAGGAAAAATCATAGTTTTTTACATCCCTAGTGGCTACTATGAATAATGACATGTGAAGCGTGTCCATAAAAGAGCTGAATAAAACGGACATTATTATCATTGTAATGGCTCCTGTGTGTTTGTTGTTTAAGTCTGTGTTTGTGAATCAGCGGTTTTTAAAGTCTGCTGCTCAGGCTTTTCTCAACAACAACTGCACTTCTCTTTATGTCCTCATTTAACGACATAAACAAAGAGAAGACTTTTGTTGTAGTTTCTCTGCATTTCCATTACTGAGGCTGACCTCTGAAAAGTCCTGAGTGTGTTGTGTTTTGTGCTGCCCTCAGTGTGTTGTGTGTTTTGTGTTGCCCTCAGGGAGAGGACTGCACCACACTGTGTCCTCCTGGTCTGTACGGCCCCAGCTGCTCCTCCACCTGCTCCTGCCACAACCACGCCTCCTGCTCCCCCAGCGACGGCTCCTGTGTCTGCAGAGAAGGTCAGGTCTGATGGGGTCCGCTGGGGTCTGCTGGGCTCCGCTAGGGTCTGCTGGGTTCTGCTTGGGTCTGATGGGGTCCGCTAGGGTCTGCTGGGTCCGCTGGGTTCTGCTTGGGTCTGATGGGGTCCGCTGGGGTCCGCTAGGGTCTGCTAGGGTCCGCTGGGGTCCGCTGGGGTCCGCTGGGTTCTGCTTGGGTCTGATGGGGTCTCCTAGGAACTACTAGGGTCCGCTGAGGTCCGCTGGGGTCCGCTGGGTTCTGCTTGGGTCTGATGGGGTCCGCTAGGGTCTGGTAGGGTCCGCTAGGGTCCGCTGGGTTCTGCTAGGGTCTGATGGGGTCCGCTGGGGTCCAGACGCACAGGCTGTGATGTCACACTTACATCAAAGAGATAAATCCTTTATTCGTCCCACAGTGGGGAAATTTCAGTGTTGCAGCGCACCGACAGTGAGACACACATTATACAATATGAGCTGCTTTGCTTCTTTCTAACTGTCAATAATTTAATACCATTTATGGGACCAGATACTCAAATATGTAATCAGGTTTTTATAATAATAATAATAATAATAATAATAATAATAATAATGATAATAATATTGATAATAATATTGATAATAATGATAATAATTAAATGAAAATTACAGGCCTTTCTCATGTGGCTGACTAAATATTTATTTATTTAATCTTTAACTCAGACACACAAACAAAGAGAGAGACAAACAACAAACATGTTTACAACATTCTATAATGACAATTTCTCCAACGATACTGAAAACACTTACACGCCGCACTGTAACAATAATAAATAATATAAATCAGAATCAGAATCATTTTTATTGCCACGTAAGTAACAGGAGGTCACAGACTAGGAAATTGCTTTGGCTCAGTGCAACAGTCAAAAAGAGGTAATAAAAATAAGAATAAAAAACACTTCTAAAGAATAAATTTAAATTTAAAATAGAGTTACAGTTACTATTTACAATATACAAGTGCACATGGTGCACACAATGTAAGGTGACAGCAGTACAGTGAAGTAAAGTGACGTATGATGGGCAGTAAAGTGACTTTATAAAGGGCGGGGGGACAGGTTAAGAAGTGTTCAAGAGTCCAACAGCAGAGGGGAAGAAACTGTTCTTGTGGCGGGAGGTTCTAGTCCTGATGGACCGCCGCCTCCTGCCTGAGGGGAGTGGTTGGAATAGTCCATGTGCAGGTGAGAGGGGAGTGGTTGGAATAGTCCATGTGCAGGGTGAGAGGGGAGTGGTTGGAATAGTCCATGTGCAGGTGAGAGGGGAGTGGTTGGAATAGTCCATGTGCAGGGTGAGAGGGGAGTGGTTGGAATAGTCCATGTGCAGGTGAGAGGGGAGTGGTTGGAATAGTCCATGTGCAGGGTGAGAGGGGTCGGCTGTGATACGACCAGCCCGGCCTCGAGCTCGGGCGACGTACAGGTCCTGCAGAGATGGAAGGCTGCGGCCGATCACTTCCTCTGCAGAGCGCACAATGCACTGTAGTCTCTGTTTGTCCCTGACTGTGGCTCCAGCGAACCACACGGTGACGGAGGAGGTGATGGAGGAGGTGATGGAGGAGGTGAGGATGGACTCGATGATGGCCGTGTAGAACTGCACCAGCATCTGTGCAGGCAGCTTGGCTTTCCTGAGCTGCCGCAGGAAGTACATCCTCTGCTGGGCCTTCTTGATGAGGGAGCTGATGGTCGGCTCCCACTTGAGGTCCTGGGTGATGGTGGTGCCCAGGAAACGGAAGGACTCCACAGAGGTGATGGGGGAGTCCATCACGGAGGGTGGGGGCGGGGGGACAGTGCTCTTCCTGAAGTCCACAATCATCTCCACTGTCTTATGGGCGTTCAGCTCCAGGTTGTTACCACTGCACCAGGACACCAGCCGGTCCACCTCCCTCCTGTAGGAGACACCAGGACACCAGCCGGTCTACCTCCCTCCTGTAGGAGACACCAGGACACCAGCTGGTCCACCTCCCTCCTGTAGGAGACACCAGGACACCAGCCGGTCCACCTCCCTCCTGTAGGAGACACCAGGACACCAGCTGGTCCACCTCCCTCCTGTAGGAGACACCAGGACACCAGCTGGTCCACCTCCCTCCTGTAGGAGACACCAGGACACCAGCCGGTCCACCTCCCTCCTGTAGGAGACACCAGGACACCAGCCGGTCCACCTCCCTCCTGTAGGAGACACCAGGACACCAGCCGGTCCACCTCCCTCCTGTAGGAGACACCAGGACACCAGCCGGTCCACCTCCCTCCTGTAGGAGACACCAGGACACCAGCCGGTCCACCTCCCTCCTGTAGGCGGACACCAGGACACCAGCCGGTCCACCTCCCTCCTGTAGGCGGACACCAGGACACCAGCCGGTCCACCTCCCTCCTGTAGGAGACACCAGGACACCAGCCGGTCCACCTCCCTCCTGTAGGCGGACACCAGGACACCAGCCGGTCCACCTCCCTCCTGTAGGCGGACACCAGGACACCAGCCGGTCCACCTCCCTCCTGTAGGCGGACACCAGGACACCAGCCGGTCCACCTCCCTCCTGTAGGAGACACCAGGACACCAGCCGGTCCACCTCCCTCCTGTAGGAGACACCAGGACACCAGCTGGTCCACCTCCCTCCTGTAGGAGACACCAGGACACCAGCCGGTCTACCTCCCTCCTGTAGGCGGACTCATCGTTGTTGGAGATGAGTCCGATGAGGGTAAATGAATAAGTGTCTAACGGATAAAATGAATAATAAATTGTAAATACTAATCAAAAGCTAATCTGAAAAGTAAACATTGAGGTAATTGTTCCCACATCAGAAACGTAAATGTTTAAATTCAGAATATAAGGCTAAAGGTCCGTGTTCCTTTAATAATGGCAGTCTTTGTGATTCTGTGATAATAAATCTGCTCTAACAGCGGGTCCTGGTTGTGACTGTAGACTGTGGCACTACATTATGACAAACATCTCAGGAGACGCAGAGAGACGCAGAGACTTGATTTTATTTTCACTTCCAGACAATAATTAGTTCTTGTCTCTGTCACTTTGGAGTTTTGTTCTTGGTGACATTACACGGTTCATGAAAAAGGTTTTATTATTTTTGAATGTCTGTACTTTTGGAAGTTCAGGTTGTCGGAAGTTTTTGGTCTGAGAATCTCGGTTGGATTTAGACGATAAGGTTCTGGGTTCAGACCTCCAGAGTCTACAGCAGAGAGAGAGTTCAGTCTAAGATCCTCACCTTCTCACACTTGTCACATGCTAATTACAAACATTAAGCTAAAACAAGCTAGCCACATTAGCAGCGCACTTCCTGTTGATCCAATTTTTTTGTTACTCAAAATTTGCCACAATTCTGACAAATATTCTATGACTTTTTCACAATTGTTGTTTAACACGACAGATTCTTGTATTGTTCACAGAATCTGAAAAACTTCTTCTAATGTAACACCTAAATAATTAGCTTTTTATAACTGACACAGACATTTTTAGTGTTTTTTAATGTTCAGGGCCAGAGTAATGAAGTTGCTGTTTACAAAGAAAGATATTGACAAAAATATGACACATAATAAATATCCAACAATGACAAACCAAGTCAGACATTTGTAAATTAGACCTGGATCAGCTGTTAAAGAAAACAAATGTATTGATGTCTGTGTGTGTGTGTCTCTGTGTGTGTGTGTGTGTGTGTGTGTCTGTGTGTGTGTCTCTGTGTGTGTGTGTGTCTGTGTGTGTGTCTGTGTGTGTGTCTCTGTGTGTGTGTGTGTCTGTGTGTGTGTCTGTGTGTGTGTGTTTGTGTGTGTGTGTCTCTATGCGTGCGTGTGTGCATGTGTGTGTGTGTGCGTGTATGTGTGTATGTGTGTGTGTGTGTGTGTGTCTGTGTCTGTGTGTGTGTGTGTGTGTGTGTGTGTGTGTGTCTGTGTGTGTGTCTGTGTGCACTTGTTTTCAACTCCTGGTGGGTTCCATAACCTGAGATTCCACTCACGTCATGGGGACTGGTTTTACGTGGTGGGGCCCGAACACCGGACCCCACTGGTCCAAGCTTAATAATCAATGGGTAATGCTTTTCTAACGGTCCTTATGCAGTCTCTGTAAAAATATGGAAAGGACCCCTGGAGGTTTTACTTTCCTGAAAAAAGTGTGTTATGTGTCGGAACCCTGGTGGTGGGTTGCGGGATATCAAGGAGGGGCACACTGGGGCAATTTCAGTCCAGCAGGTGGAGCCAATCATGGAGCAGCACAACAGAGGAAATCAGGTGTCAGGCTAGAAAAAGGTGCAAGTGTGTGGTTCATTAGGCTGCAAGAAATCATGGAGGAGCACACTGAAGCGCACGCTTACAAACCACTGGTAAGTGCTGACTACAAGTCATGACTTCAAATTGTTATATAGAATGATTACAAATTATTTGTTGTTTGTGCAGCTTAGTCAAGAGTCCCTAATTGATGAAGTCGACTCAGATTCTGACGATTTAACTGTCAAGAAGAAACCTGTAAAAAAGTATGGAAAAAGAAAAATCAAAAACACTTTTCTTCAAGACTCGGAAAGTGACGAACCAAAGGCAAATAAGATTGTTATCATGCAGCTGCAAAAGAAGAAAAATGGGGGGCGAGTATACAGCAAGAGACACTTCTGCCTCTACTGTTCAATGTCCTGCCACAAAATGTCCCGTCATTTGACTAGAAAACATGGAAATGAAAGTGACGTAGCCAGAGCATTGGCTCTACCTGTGAAATCTAAAGCACGTAAACTTCAGTTTGATTTGATCAGGAATAGTGGAAACCGTGAGCACAATTTTGAGGTTTTAAAGGCCGGCATTGGAACTTTAGTCCCAGCTAAACAGCCAAATTCCCCAGTTAAATCCAGTGAGTTTTTGCACTGTATAGACTGTGGGGCATTGCTTAAGCGAAAGTCGCTGTGGAGGCATGTGGCCAGGTGCCGGCTTTCACAGAAAGATGCCCAGGCTAAACCAGGTAGAAGTAGGGTCCAGTCCCTCTGCTCCCTAGCCCAGCCTGTACCGGAGGGCATCAGCAAAAAGCTGTGGTCTTTAATTTCGGCAATGCATCAGGATGAGGTCACGGGTGTTGTCAAAGCAGAAAAGGGGATTCTGAGACTCGGAGAGCACCTGTACTTAAAACACGGGCATGATAAGACAAAGCATGATTACATTAGGCAGAAAATGAGAGAAGTCGGTAGGTTAATTAACGAAGCAAAAACCGCAGGGAAACTG